AAAAAAAAAAAAAAAAAAAAAAAAAAAAAAGAAAAGGAAAAGAAAAAAAGGAAAAAAAAAAAGGGAAAAAAAAAGAAAAAAGAAAAGAAAAGGACTGAACCCCGACAACCTTGAAAGAGAGATCTGGTGTCCACCCAGCCCAGATCCAATTGTTGAGCTGCCTCACTCCTTACCTTGCATAACCTTGGTTCAGCTGTCTCCATCGTCATCGTGTGCGGCGATGTCAAGGTACTTTTAAACTCAGGCGCTGGTAACTATATTACTATTATCTGTCGCCCATGTTCCTCTCCTCCAACTATCGTCGTTCAGATTCATTATCTACGCTCTGTGTCCTCAGTCGACTCACTTAGTTAACTCTTCCACCCCTCTCCGTCTCTCTTTCGCTTCTCCTTCTCTTGATATCTACCTCATTCTTCCCCCGTCTCCTCCCCGCCATTTAATTCCACCACCAATCCTCATCAATACTATTACTCTTCACAACCCAAGTGGTTTGACGTGTGGGGTCATAATTATTCCTTTTCTTCTACCCCTACCAACCTGCCTTTTGTTCCGTGCGGAAGCCGCAGGCCGGCTATACTTGTGCAATCAGGCCTCCCTGCTCTGGACTTCTGTTCTACCTATCATAGTGGAATAGTTACCTCCTCGGAATCCTTTTCCTTCCCTTTGGCAGTGTTTGTCTATGTCCCAGTACCGTGAACTGGGTGAGGATTCTGGAAAAATGGCCATTTCCTACGCAAGTGGACTTCCAGCGGATCATACTCCTGCTCTTCCGTCATTTCGAGAGGTGAGCCAACACACTGCGCCTGGCAAACCGACCGGTGGTTTCGCCGTAAGAGGATCAGCCAGACTAATGCACTCTTTGATAGCTACTCCCGCCTCATCTCCATGATGAGATCGAATCGACCTCATATTTCACTTCCCGCCAGCACGCGCGCGAGCGGCCTACATCAGCAGCTCACGAATTGACGTCCAATCCCCGCCCTTTCTCTGATCGTCCCTATGGATCACCCCCGAAATTGCCATTCGATTATGCCGCCCGGTCCAGTGAACCCCAAAGCCGGATGGCTGGTCACCCGACCGACCCCATTACAGGCTCTCCTCGCTACGCTTCTCGTGGCCCCAGTCCTATTCTACCATCCATTCGGGACCTTCAGTCGCTCCCTGAACGGGGTTTGAATACATCGGGCGCTGCTTACCCAGAACCAAGGGCCCTTTCTCGACCGGACTTCGCAGCGCAGGAATTCAGGGCGGGCCCGGTTGGCCCCCACGCATATCCCCCAACCAACATTCCAGGCACAGTACCGGGTGATCGGAGGAGCGTGGATTCTTTCCCAGTCATGCCCAATCAGACCGGCTATGCCTATCCCGCAATGGGTTACCAGAGTGATTCCGAACAACCGTCTCCGCAATCCCTCTCTCATGCTCAACAATCAAATTTCGGTATCCTCGGGGATTCGATTGACCCCAAGAACAAGCGGAGACGGGGCAACCTGCCCAAGCCTGTCACAGACATTCTGCGTGCATGGTTCCATGAGCATCTTGACCATCCGTATCCCAGTGAAGAGGACAAACAGATGTTCATGACCCGCACCGGACTCACTATCAGCCAGGTCAGTAGGACATCACCCAGTCTACCAAGTCAGCACATGCTAATCAGGAATTATCTACAGATCAGCAATTGGTTCATCAATGCTAGACGGCGCCAACTTCCTGCTCTCCGGAACCAAATGCGAAACGGCGGAAACGACATTGACTCTCAAAGACAATCTCCCTTCAGTGACATGGACCAGACGTCCCCGGAATCAATGCCGTCTCCTCACCAAATTGTCAAATCATAAATTGCCTTCGAGCACGATTAGGCACCCCCGTTGGGCCGGGCATCGTTCTTGATGCCACTTCCGCAAGATACATCCAACATTTCATGAGTTATGGGGCTTTGGGATACAAGAACAATTAGACACGAGAGTTCGCCACAACACCCATCTTTAATCTTTCTTTTTGATCATCAAGGAATTCTACGACGAGCCGAGTGAGATGGACAACCGCTCTTGATACCCTCTACCGTTTATCTAATCGACTTTATAATTATCGTGCATGGCTTCAACATTACAGGGTTTATGTGGCTGGGAGCAATTGGGAATGGCAGTTACTGAGATGTGCGGTTCCTCACCTGTGCGCCCTTGCCTCCCGCATCATGGCTGCCTATTGCGATATTGCATCTCTAGGTGTTTTTGGTCATTTTATCGGCTATCTTAATTTCCTATGTTCTGTCTTTCTATACTAGATCAACGTGTTTCCTTTTGTTCTTTTGGCGCGCTTACACTTGCAAATCGGTTGTGATGGGTTTCACTTGGAGATGAGGATCAAGCATATGCATGACTTTTTGTACAGTATAAGTACGGATGATGTGACCATGTCAAGTTAGACTGTCTTTCCTTGTTATTTTCTGTTTACAATGTTTGGGAGGTCATCTCAGGTTTTGGAATTAGACAAAAATTGAGAACATTGGTTATTACCCATATAGGCTCCATTTTGGAAAGTCCGCATTGACTCGCACTTTCCTTTTTTTACTCTTCTTCATTTACCCTTTTCATACATTTCCCGGCCCTCCTTATAAGACAGACCATGGTTGGGCTGTTTAAGGTTCCCTCATCTCACATCCGGGCGGTACCGTGCATTTCTGGCATTCGTCACAAACCTTTACCCAGGGCTGTACTGTGGCTTGACGGAAATCCATTGGTGCAGGTTTTGTTAGGCCCACCACCGCATGAGGAGATCGTTCGAGGAATGGAGGAGCCAACTCATTCTCAGATAGTCCCCTGGTGGGCGGTAAGAAAACCATGGAATCGCTCTCGCATTTCTGATCCGGAAGATCCATGGGTTGAAGACCATTGTGAGACGCATGCAACATTGGAATCGGCCCACCCTGAAAGGCCACTCATAGCCTCTAGCCTTGCGGTGAGCGCCGGAAAGGACAGGCGGGAGGCGTGCTGTCACACGTCATGAGAAGAACTACAAAGGCCTAAATTTTGGTTCCGGCCAGTCGGGACGGCTAGATCGCCAAGTGTCAGTTACCGAGAAGTGCGCCTCGTGGATAGTCCAAGCCCAGTTGTTGCAGGTAGGCCGTTCGACGTCGTTGGATGGGCGCTGCTGCTTGTCAAGCGTTCGGACTCCCAGACGGGCGCGAGCGCTTTTTGCTATTCGGCCAGCTCTTGCGGTAAGGCGGCCTTGGGATCCTGGATCACCCGAGGAGGTCATCTTGGACGTCTGTGCGGGCGTACGTAGGTCAACCCTTGGACTCCGTATCAAATCGTACTGAAAGGGAGGGGGCCGACCCATTGTCCGTCCATCAGGTCTCATGAGCCACACGCACACACGCAGCGTTACTGTTGCATGGAGACACTCGAGGCTGGTCTTCTTGGGCCCCTCTTCTTTCTTTCCCAACGGTCACCGGCACGGAAATCCCTGCAAGCCAGAGAGAGGCGGACGGGCGGAACATGCCTCCGAGACCATTGGAGAAGCAGATCAGGCTTGTCGACTGTGGCACAGGGCTTGACCCCAGCTGCACGAAGCACGGGGGAGGAGGTGAGGGAGAGGAGAGGAAACGATTTAGAAACCAGGATCTATCCGATCTATCACATGGCGGTGAATCTGGCTGCCGCGCATGGGGATCCCAGGTACTCCGGATGTCACCTTTCAAAGCGAGGGGGGGTCGCTCGGATCAAGAATGGGCGGCATTCTACTGGAGGAGGGGGGAGGATGCTACACAGGATGTGCCTTGACAGGAAAACAGCTCGAGTCAGGGCCTGCTTTGACACGACAGCTCAACGGTCGAGGGGATGCAGATGGGCATGAAGAAATACGAAGAGGTATTGCATGACACCCGTCCTAGCCCTGATCCCCGATCAGAAGATGAAGACAGGTCGGCAGGTCAGCCGGCCTATCATCATTCCTCGCCCTGGACTTGAAGGTTCTTCCTGTATCTGTACATGCGACCGACCGATTGCAAGTCCGTCGCGAAGTATTCACCCATCGATGCAGCGAAAACCTGGAAACCACCCAGCTGCACCCCACTCTGGTGCGGCAGATCTCCCTCTCCCTAGGATGAGGAGAGAGAGGATCGACATTGAAGGTCAATAATTTAGTGCCCTTTGCTGAATATTGTTGGCTCTGTGACTGCTGTACGATTTAAATCACCGAGCATCCCCGCCAGGATGCCGCGGATCACTTTTCCCACCCCCTGGCCGTGGGATATTATCTCCACGCTGCAAGGTGTGAGTCAGTAAGGAACTCCTCGCGGCTTTATAACTGCATTAACCGGTTGGGAGACCCCCACTGCGTGCAAGAACCGCGACGCCTACAGAATCGCCTCGCCACACACGTACACCAGCCACAGGCCTGGCGTCAGCGCCTAAAGGAGCATTTCCGGAGCCTATCGTCTGTACCGGGTACATGGGACTATGTACGAAATGTAGGTGGATATGGACTAATGCACGCGCCATCCCTGATTCCTCCCAACCAATCCAGGGCCATAGCCCTTCCCAGAGCTGCGACATGTTATACTACCCATGGAGCTCTGCCCGATCCAGTCCGACTGGAAGGCAAGTGTGCAACGCTCGGTCCTCTCAGCTGCACAGTCGGGATTGTCGTCCCTTGACGAATGACATCTCAGAAAAAACTAAGCATTTAGGCACCTAGATTGCATTGCCTGACGGTCTGACAGGCCTTTCCCCTCCCTTCATGGTAAGTTTTTACCTGCTGCGGAAATCCGAGAGATCATTTATCGGGCGGAAGTGACCACCGATGAGGACCAAACTCATTTCCCCCCCTCTCTGGCGTGTTTAGTTGGCCGTCATGCAAGTTCACATCCTGGGAGCTAGCCACTACCCACTTGCATGTACGTCAGTCACGGTGGCTTGTGTTCGTACCCAAATGCAATCCGGGGACTCGGGATTTGACATACTGATACAAGGCGATCAATCCGTTGGCTGGAGTCTTTGCCCAGACTCTGGTCTGGTGTGGGGGTGGAGTGTCGTGTGTCTGTGTGTGTTGTATGTGCACTCAATGTGCGTACGTATACCCCATACCAAACCGACATATATGCACACATATGTCGACATGTCTGAGGCGAACTGCAAGCTAGATCTGCAGGTCTCCCATTACTTACCTGCCTGTCTATCTGTATGTGATATGGTGGAGGAGCTCCTTTTCAAACTTACTACGTATGACAACAGATTCATATTGCATCTTGCTGGCCCCCTTTTCCTTTCTCGAATTAGAAATTTGGCTTCTCCTTTCTCATTCTTGTCCAACCCTAGCCCTACGGGCGCATGCTATGGAATGCATGGATACCATGGTTCATTCAGCGGCCTGTGCGTTTACTCCTCATTTCCTAGTACTAACTCCCTGCCTCCTGATATCATACAAGGGTTTCTGCTGCTGCTGCTACTACTACTACTACTGCAGCATCGCTGATTTCTCCCCATTTGCATGCGTGCGCTGGTGCCTATACCATTGTAAATAATCTTGGGACCGCCCACCCCCCTCCCCTCATCTCCATTCCCAAACAGGCAACGACCTACGTGTTATAGCTCATGTTGTGTGATGAGAATTGATTGGCCACCGTCAAGGTGACACACATTGGCTGGATCATTTATCCGACTGAGACACGAGGTAATGGGTTTTACCCTTGCCAACTTCGCAAAACCAACTCTACAACCCTGGACAGATATTGGGTTTAGTGGATGTTTGTTCCTCTCTTCTCTCCCTTGATTTGTTTCCTGGGTTATCTTCATCTTATAGGGTATGTAGCTCTGCCTTTTTTGGTGGAGATCTTGCTTTTTTGGGCAGAAAATTTCATTGTTGGCAAAGTTAGCTAGCTAATGTAGCTATTTGATTAGCTAGATACAGTAGTTCTGGCCCTTGGTATGTTTGTGTGGGGTATGCAAAGGGATGGATGGATGGATGGATGGATGGGCATGATGGTAGTAGTACTCCGTAGTAGTTGATGAGGTTCTGATCAACGGTTCTCTCTTCTTACTTTTATGTTGTGTGACGTAGAAGAAGATGTTAGGAGAGAAAACTTGGAGAAAGAGAATGGAATGGACTACTGAGATAGTGGTGGTTCGGTTTCATGTGAAATTCCATGAGAGTTGTTATGTAGGGATGGTTGAGGGATCCATCCATTTCATCGAACTCATCCCGCTTTCGGCTGTACTCAAAGTCAGGTTCAATGGGTTCATCCAGATGGACGCTGTGTTATCTTATCAATCAACCTGATATGGACCAGTTAATACTATCGCCTAGTTTGAATGGAATATAAAAATATATACGTACGTACTATTCTTCATGGCAGAGTCTATGTTCCTGAGTTAGCTAGCTAGGGAGTGAGAGGACAATTAGTTAGGCTCATATTCGCATTCTGCTTGCCTTATTTCTGGAATATTTCAATGGGATAGGGATAGTAGTTGGATATATATGACCAAGTTTACAATAACCGAGGGGATGAACAAAGGGTTCTCGATTCGGATAAGTGATCACAGTAGTTGGAATCATGATGATATATAGAGGTTCGTGACTTTGATCAGACTTGTGAATAGTAAAGTAATGTCGTAGTAAATGATATTATTTGCTCATCCGATTGCCTGGTTTGAAGAGGTGACTTGGTGGATTAGGAGGTGAGAAAGGATGGGATTCGAAGATATTATTTGTTACGAGTTGTCCGGATTTTGATACAAAATAGTAGCTTGATATGATGGGTTGAGAGATGCTATCTCTATGCAATACTACTCGATTGTCTCGAGAGCTACTTAGGTACTACTAGTCGTTCTGGAGACGGCACGGTGGCAAACGAGTCTACTGGACGAAGTCATTTAATTGATAGTGTTGTAAGTTTTTTGATGTATCAAGGATATGGTTCTTTGTTTGATGTGAATCATGAATGTCGTTCAAAGTGATAGGTTAGGAGGATGAAGAAGATTTATATGGTTTATATCGTCACGTTGAGAGGGAGTGATGGGGAGATAATAGTGATGGTAGTATTGAAGAACTTTGGTGTCAATGAATATATTAGTAGTAGATGAAGTCTTTTGTTTTTGGGGCTCAAACTATAAGTATTTCAGTGATAGACTGGTCTTCGTTGGTTCTACGTTGATTATGGTGGCACATAGTATGGGATATCAGTGGTGCTATGGAGGAGACAGGTACCTCTCTTAGAAATTATTCAGGGCAAAAGGGGCTGATTTTGACTACCAGGTATGAATTTTGTCTGTTTAGATTGTCGATGGGTAATCATACACCCTGATCCAAACGAAAGCGTGGTGTATAAAAGAGTATCTGTATCACATGCGATGCTGCTGACGGATTCTGCGCTAGATAGCTATGGCATAGGCATGTGAAAAGTAATGGGCTCGGTCCGAACACACACGAATCGTGAAATCTAAGCTTATCATAACACTACGGCGGTATACCTGTGTCCCTATCGCTTGCGGGCATCAGGTACCGGGTCAGATCGTAAGCGCCACTATAGCTCACTTGGACTGGCCACGAAAATAGGATAGTCTCTGGCCGACTATAGTTCTGCTGCCGGATAATAAATCGGCGCCACTTCACTCCTAACGGGTATGCACATCCGGTTGACACCGTGGAAACAATTGCCAGGGTCCAATAGCGCTACCGGTACCCGAGAATGCTCGGTGCCACCCGGGAAGGTATCAGCAGTTGATAGGGCGACTGACGAGCAAAGACTGCTATCCTGTAAATGTTAGTGGCCCCGGACATATGCAGGCCTCCGTCTGGGGTTACGCTCAAGAGCCAACGGCATATCAGTGATTACCCTGTGTCAGGATAGCGCGGATTCTGCATCGACCCATCCTCGATCCGGGATACATGAGTGGCCATGTGTTCTTCTCGACTAATTGAGCATAATCCAAGGATGGCCAATCATACATCATGTCTGCCTGGCCATGGCCACTTCTATCCTGGATAAGACAACGAATAGGATCTGGGCTAATCTATCATGATGGACCAATCGTTCATGACAAGAGGCAGCAATTCTGCACGCAGCCTGCGCTCCCGTTCCTGGGGCCATCCAGAAGCGGTATCGGATCGGTAGTCCGACGTTGCTGCAATGGATAAACGTGTCTGGCGTTGTGGACCTTCTCGAACTGGCTAGAAGCCCACAGGGTCATCGGCAAGATTCCGGTTCGCACAAGGTAGTGTGCAGTACGACTAAACCTCCACGGGCCCACCGGTCTTCGGCATTGTTCTGCACGCGTCAACCAGAAGGCCAAGCTTTGCTTGGCTATCTGATAGTCCGACTATCATTCCTGACTTGACAAGCGCAGATGTACGAGATTTGCGGCGTGATCGACGCGAAGCCCGTGAAGTCATCCCGAGTACCCGAGTTATCCACTTCCCGTACATCTGGAGGCGGATACAGAGATGGCAGGCGCTTGGATGCGAGCTCGGAGAGGCGTGTCTTCGCTAGCGGAGAGAGAGAGGAAGGAGTAATGCTTGGTTGTGAAGAACGGACCAGGGTGTAATTAACCCCTATGCAACCTCAGCTACGGAGTTTGGCAGGTACTCCGGCCACGATGCCGTGTCTTGCCGCTGGGCCGACGGTTGCCGCTCGTGGAGTTGACCTGTGTCTAGGTGCTGTTTCTGTGTACCTAATTTCCAGACATGTTATGGAGCACTTGAAAGGGGCCAGGGGGAACCGTAGCATTGGCATATATAAAGTGGACACCATCTGCACTTCTTGGTGGATGTGAAGCTTCAATTGAGAGCAGAAAGGACTTTGGATGAAGGAAAATACAGAGGAAAGTTGATTGACTGCGAAAAAAACGCCACTAGATTTCCGGCAACGAACAAAACAGACAAAACAAACAAACTGCGCCTGAGGCGTGACCGGCGATCATGTATCTACAAAGAACTGCCTGGATCGTCGCTGCCTCATCTTCTACCAGCTCCCCTCCTTTACTTCCTCGGCATACTCATGAACACATGCCTACGATGGTCAACTCTCAGTCTGTTCCTATCAACCATGTTCGCAGGGATTATGGTCTGGCCGTTGAACTCCCCTGAATATCCTGCCTGAGAGCCTACGTCTTCCGATGACGACGTGTCTAGTGGCCGAACCGCCATCCGATATTAACCTGCAGCCGGGAATAGCCATGGGCAGACGAATCCAGAGGTTACCAAATCTTAGCGTATGAGGTGAGCAAGGATATACTCGGCGTTCCTTCTTGGGCCTTCCGAAATCAAAGACGCCGAACAGTTCATTGTGATTTTAATAAGCTGAGTTAATTTAGCTGCAGGTACGGCTTCGATAAGGGTGGGATATGGACTTCTACGACCTGGTGATTCGGAGATATCCGATTCTCAAATGCCTTCCAATAAAAGTTATGAACAATGAAGTGGCCCGGAGTACGGAGAAATTGCCTCTATCGTTGGTCTCTCGTGTCGAGCGTGTTCACGGCTAATAACGTTAAAACATTGACACATCATTTCATGATAACTAACAAGTGAGACATGTGCCACTCATTCCCGAATGCAACCATTCTATCAGGCCAGTGGGGAACGCACGGCTAGCCTCGTCGACCTCCGATGGTTGGTTACTCCCATCAGAGTTTCCTACTGGACCATCTCAGGAAGGTGGAAAAAGCAACTTGGAATGGCACCATTCACCGATACAAAGCGCACTGTTGGTTGCCATTTTACTTTCCCACCCCCTCACCCGCCCTTCTTGCCTACTGGCGCCTGGAAGTGGCATCCTGGAGCAGGAGAGAGGAACGGTAATTGGCAAGCGCTAACCAAATTGCGCCTTGTACTATGGAGCCGGCGCTGCGAGCCGACGCGCCCCATTCCCAAAATGACCTAACGGCCGTGAAGCCGAGGTTCAGGGTGTCCCTACTACTTACAATGCTTAACAGCAGACGGAATAATATTCAAGCCCCATCATTGCACTTGTCAAAAATCAAGAAGCAGCACATTTGGGCCTGAAGCAAGCCTAGATTGCAATACTAGTCTTTTCTGCGAAATAAACTAGTTATTAATGAGGGCTTGCTGATTCGCTGTGGTGTATGTGATATCTGTGTCGAAGGCCCCAGAGAGCTCGACCACTCCCTCGAAGACAAGCCTTGCTCAGACAACTCGGGCTCCACCGTGTGCTGGGTCCACCACCTCTGCTGACCTTAACGCGGGTGCCTGTCGATTATGGGTCAACAGCCAATGTTGGACCGATATGCCTCCTCCGTCCCGGATTGTGAACATATGATAAGGAATGATGTGATAAGGAGAAAAAAGACGGTATGATCTAAAAGCATTTTACGGACATAACAACATGGATGGAGTGGACCAGTAGGAGCTCCGCCATGATCCTGGTGGCTCGAATCATTCCTGAGGATCCCCCACGGGCTGCTGTTGTGGAAGACGCCTGGACACACTGGCACCACAAACGCTGGACCTGCATAGATTATGCTTTTCTGGCTTCGGGTCTAGACATGGATGTGATAATATCAACGTGCATCCTTGCTAACAGTCCAACAATAATTCCGGTGATAGCCGCCAGGGCAGGCATTCTATGTCGCATTGCAGGATGCGCCGTTCAAGTGTAGAGATGAGACAAGAGGAAAATTTTTTCTCTCCTTGGCGGTAGAAAGTCCATTTGAGGAATCTTATAAGGTAATTACCTATGGTCAGTCGCTATGGTCTTGTCGAGAGACACTCCTTCTCGTTAAGATCTACATGATCGCTTTTTGATTTTCCCTTGGTTCACGCGGTTACTTTCTCCCCGTCAATCTCCAACCGCTGTCATGCCTGACCATCAATTTGGAACGGACAAGGGGAGAGGAGAAATTGGAGGAGCGATCATGAAAAGCTAATTTTGCTTATTACTATAATTATTATTTTTTTTTCTAATGAGGGAAAAACGGAAAGAAAAAAAAAGGAAAAAGAAAAGCCGTCATCAATTCCAAAAGACCATCAGCCAAAGATACACGCGAGTTACTGACCTTCTTATCCTGGACTTCCGCCCGATCCATATCTTCATGATAAGCAGGGAACCGAGCAAATCAACGCCAAACTTCAGCGGCAGTTCCTCACTAATTTCCCACTTTCCACCGGCGTCATTTTGGTCCCAACCCCCCTCCCTGGAAGCAGCGGGATTTAGTTACGATCCGGTTTACATCGGAGACTCGGAGAATACCATAGCGCATGCCAATCAGACCCCCTGCCAGGGTGACTGGCCAGTATCGCGACCCATTGTTTCTATCTTTCTAGAAGACCTGCAGGGACATGGATTGGCTGGCTGCTGTGCTGCCGTCATTTAGCGTCTACCCCAGGTCAAGAACGGACTGGACGGACCCATAACCAATCTAACCAAAGCCAATTTCGTCAATTACCAGCTGGCGAGCACCATCCCATTTCCAGGGTTGGCCGCCAACTGTTAAAAGGCACTATTCGTCTCTCCACCTGCCCGCCCCTCGATGGCCTGCGCGTAGTAACTATTCTACTGCTTTTTTTGCCTCTTTTGCCCTCTTGGTTTTTATTCTACCCTACTCTCCAAATTGCCTGCCATCAATTGGTCCAAATTGGACTTCGTTTGATGACATGACTCGCACCGTGGACGAGATCAAATACGAGACCCCTTCTTCATGGGAGCACAAGAGCTTGGACGTTGCCGAGGATGGCAGGCGACTAGCTCCCCATTCCGACACAGCTCGTCCGAAAGGCCGGATACGACGATCCATGACTGCCTGTCACACATGTCGGAAGCTTAAAACAAGATGTGATCTAGATCCGCGCGGTCATGCGTGCCGTCGCTGTTTATCTCTAAGGTCAGTAGCAACTCATACCTGCCATTTTGAAATTTTGTTTGTCCTATTGGGCGTGACATGAACTTAGTCGTGGAGTGTAACTGTCCCGACTTTGCTGACAGTCCACGATTTCTTTAGAATCGATTGTAAGCTGCCAGAAACGACCGATCGGTTCCAAGACAGTGCTGCGATCTGGCCAGACGCCACCTCGGCAATTCCCTCCATTGAGGAGCGCCTCACCTCACTAGAACGATCCATGAGGGAGATGACGGGCATGATGCGGCAGATGCTAGATCACTCCCCAGGTTTCGCAAATACTTCAATTCCGCACTTGACAAGAAGTATCATGACGGATGATACTGCCTCCATGGAGGGAAGCCCGTCGTCTCCCTTCCTGCCTAAACCCGTTCGCCTCATTCAGGACCTCCAGTCCGACTTCTTCGGAGAAGCAGAGACTACTTCTCCTGTTGACTCTCCCCTCTCCAGTGACGGTGCCGCCAAGGGCGCTATCGACTCCAAACTATCCCTCAAATTGTTGCAAACGTATGAGCATACCTGATAGACAACTACCAAGATAGCTGCTAATACTTGGCGCAAATCAGGTTTGTCGATCACTTCGGTGCCTGCGTTTCTATTTACAATCTCTCCGATATCCACAATGACATGAAAGCCCCCGACTCACTACTGTATAATACTGCATGCCTCCTAGCTTCACGCTATGTCCCGGGGATACCAGCGTCTGCTGTGCATGCTCTATATCTTCAAGTGCGACATGCGGTAGTCAACATCTTGTGGGAGAAACCTCCCCTGAAGTATGAGACCCTCCAAGCACTTGCACTTCTCTGTCTCTGGCCAGCAACCGCCCAGAAAGAGCCACCCATGGACAGCTGGCTGTTGAGTGGCATCTCAATCAACCATGCGATTATTGCGCTTGAGTTTATAAACTATGCGCCCTCGGAAGTTGTGGTAGACAATGAAACGGCTGCGCAGCTGCGGCTATGGAATACATATTGCTTGACACAGCTACAGTGGGTTCCACCTGATACCTCCTGTCCCCAATATAGCTAACACGCATTAGTTTTGCGGTTGGCAATGCGCGTCCATTCCATATCCAGCAGAGATACCTTGATCACTGCCCACGGATACTGGAGCACCCCGCAGCAACCTTGGAGGACGCCAGGGTTGTCGCGGAAATACAGCTCTATTTGATTACATTGCGGCTCCAGAGCAATAGCAGTCGCATGCGGTTGGCAGACCTTGACTATGAGGAAATCGAGCGATGGAAGAGGGAGTGGGCTCACCTTTTCTGTAAGAAGCCTGCCAGTGTTTCCCGGGGACTACCACTGACGAGCGAAACAGCTGGTGAAAGTTCCACTTTGGAGCTGAGCCTTTGGTTCTGCCAGACACTCCTTCACCGCACAGCAATGAGGCTTCAGCCCAGATCCGACAGGCTCGCATCTGAGGTTCTGCAAACCTCACGTCTGATCATATCGCGATTCCTCCAGATCCGGTACTCTACCGCATTGAGCCTTGTCGACCAGGTCTACTTCATTGTCGGCTACGCTGCTCTGAATTTGTGTGATTTCAACCTCATGGACCCGCTCATCGAGCAGGTGCAGATGTTCCTGCTGCATCTCGCGCCCAACGAAGACCACATCGCATACCGGTTTTCGTGCATGGTCGCCGAGTTCAAGCGGCGATGTAGCAGTGCGGAATGCAATGATCCGTCGTCCACGGTCAAAGGGTCTCCGTTATCATCCTACGGCGACAGTCGTAAGATGAGCATGGGTCAAGCACCGTTCATGCCACCGCTCATGGATGGCATGATCGAGGGGTATGGCTTCGAGCAACTGATGCCAGAAGTCATGCCGAGTTCTTTTCCGGATGGGATACTCAACGGAATGCCTGTGACTGGCCTAGCAGCGTATCGGTCGGCGACGCTGTAAGGTAATTCAATGAGGTCAAGCAGGAGATGGACATAGGTGGGGTGGGTATGGTAGTAGCAGTAGTACCACCAGGGATAACCTGCCTGCAGTGGTGTGGTGATTTAGTTTCTGCCCATGGACTGGGCTGAACCTAGCATGATGACGTGCAACGAAAATGATAATATCCAAGGCCTGACACTAAACAAAGATAAAAATAATATATTTTAATCCACGATCCACCACCGGATCCATCAGGTAGTTAGTTGGTTAGGTTGCCTTCCTGCACAGTCCTATTTAGTTAGAGGGGCCCGTGCCACGAATCATCACGTAATTGAGCGAGTGCCGCTTGCTTTTCTTGCAACTTACAACGCTCACTGCTACTACTCTGTACTAGTAGTTACATTCACATGCCAAACTACTCACCACAGACCACCAGGCTGCAGTAGCCCCAGCCAGCCACCATTTCCTAATCGGATAAATCTCCGACATCATCTTCCTCTCCCTCCTATTCGGACCGTTCCGTGCTTCCGCGGGAGGACAACAACAACAGCAGCAGCAGCAGCAGCAGCATTCCATGTCATTCCTCCCACCCAGAGGGAGAGGGAGAGGGGAAGAGAGGGGTGCGAGCAAGGAACGGAACCAATCTATACAACTACTACTATTGTCAGATTTAGTACATTTTAGGAAAGAGTACTAGTTAATCATCATCGAAGAGAAAAATAGAAGATAGATAATTTTCCGATCGATCAAGTAACATACTACGTAGTAGTAAGTAGTAGACCCCCCGGCCACCCCCCATTTTACTCCAGTCCACTTCACTCCCCTGGCAATGATGATGCGGTGGCTGCTGCACTGCTTCACTGCAGCACAGTCAGTCACTCGCCCACTAATGAGTTATCGAAGAGGGGCTGGGCTGGCAGTGGGAGGGGGATCGAGAATTACTTACATACTAGTTATTCTTCTTATAAGTCGATCACTACCTATCTATGCTATACTGAGGAGGAAGAGGGGGGAGAGGAGGGAGAGCCAATATGGTGTTGTTTTGAGAGGGATAAACTTTTTCGTCTTGTTGATTAATTTAATTTAATTTTTGGAGTAGAGTTGTAGTTTTGGTTAGTTGGGCATTTTCATATGTTACTAAGTTACTACTGTTCTGGAGGATTTAAACAGGATGATCGAGTGGTTGATTTAATTGATTGATTGATTGATGCTGCAGGTAGCTTGTTGTTCATCTCGCTTGCCCCGCCCGTAGATGGGTTGTATTCGGATGAAGATACTCGATGGAGGAAAGTAGGAGTTTCTTTTTCGTTTCCCTTTACTTTTCTTTTCTTTTTCTTTATTTTTTTCCTGGATGAATAGGAATTATCTATGCTTGTGTGTAGTGGTTTTATTATTGGTCTGTTGTATAAATTGGCTGGTGTTGATGATAGTAGTAGTTAAGTTTAATCCGTTGTTTCATGTGGTTGTAGTGACCGACCTTGGCTTTCATACACTAAGGACTAGGTATCGGTATTACTACGTCGGTGGTATATATTTTATCCACCCTACATGCAAAAGGACATGGATACCACTTAATCATATAAAATGTTCTTGAAGAATCTCTTACACATAGAAACATCCAATCGCCTATTAAAATAAAGTAATAGGAGAAGGCACACTGAGACATCCCAATCACGTCATTATAGCAAGAAGCACCTGAGCGAAAACTCTACAAATCACTGTCAGCATCTAGATCACGATCATGGGGTTCATCACCTAGCGAATGATGCACTTACACAGTGTAGCTCAAGAACAACATTACTCCCCCTGCATGCTTGAAGACGCTTATCGCGGAACCTGTGCGGATGTATCAATTCATCAATTCACAAACAATGTATGTGAAGGACACGCATATAAACATGAACTTTTGAAACAGATAGGTAGGAACTAACTGCAAAATGAGCTTCCATTAACCAACTTATCTGCGGGATAGAGGATCCGTGGTAATCCGCTCTTCATGGGGACTGGCACCGAGCCATTTGAGTCGACTGTCAGATTCGAACAGGTATATATCTCCATGATCTCTTGACCGGCGGTGTAGCCTGTTCCCGGGAGGGAGAGAGTGTACGAGGATCCTGAGGCGCCGAGATTGGAAAGGACCGTGATGGTCTGGGTGCCGTTGTAGCCTTTGCGCATGGCAAGAGTCGAGGTGTCTTGGTAGATCGGGTAGTTCTGCGATAGAGTTCCACAGTTAGATGCACTACGCAACGCAAGGACTCAATGGTGGCTCACTTTGTAGGTGAGATATCCGCTGTCTTGGCTTATAGCGTGGGTACGGATCTTGTTCGATGTGGCGATATGCGTGTAGAGCTCGCTGGTGATCTTGTAGCCCGAGAGCCACGTCGCTTCGCGGTTGTAGGGATCATTGCCCCCGCTGTAGTGCTGTTCCTGACCGGCGTATATAATGGGGATGCCGTCGGCTAGGATGGTGAACGTTGCGGCATTTTTGGCTAAGGACATGTCGCTTGTGTAGCTTCGGGGGTAAGCTAATGTGCTCGTTGCGATGAAGTTGGAAGGGGATGCTTACTTGGCGAAGCGAGGGTTATCGTGGTTCTCGACGAAAGTCCCCAGAAGCGTAGAATCTCTGCAGGTGGATTTAACGGTGTTGATCATGTTATAGAGGTCGCTGATACTGCCGTTGGTGGATTCGAAAGCCCGGAGGAGTGGATAATACCTATTGCAAGTCGTTGGCGAGCATTCATGGGGGTTCTATGTAGGGCTTACATCGGGTAGTTGAGCACTCCGTCCAGGTCATCCTGATAAGGACAGGTGTATGCCGCGTCTCCATCGAAGACTTCTCCGATACAATATACGCCTGACGCATTATTGTAGCCGGGCCAGAAGTTCTTCTGAACGTTCTTGACTGTGTCTATACGGAGGCCGTCGACTTGATGTCTGTTAGTCTTTGTCCTATAATTGATAGCACATAGTGAAGCAAAGGTAGGAATACCGGAGTAGTTAGAGACAAGCGACTCGACCCAGTCATACCACATATTCTTCACATCCGTACGGGTAGTGTCAAGATCCGGCAAGGCAACGGTGTTGTCGCCTAGCCAGCAGTCTTCAACATTTGTCTGATTATCGTAATTAGAGATCCAACAGAGGTTGTGAAAGTACTTTTGCGAGTTAAATGGTCTATAGACACTGTAGTCCACAGAGTTTCCCGTGCCATTGTGACCCTATCGTTGTCAGATATGAAGCCAACTTCCTGGAGGACTGAGAACATACCATATGGTTGGCAACGACGTCCACCATGAGGTACATGCCCCGTGAGTGAAGAGCTGAAGCGAGAGCTTTGAGATCGTCTGCTGTACCATAGTGGGAGTTGAGGGCGTAACTGTCTGCATGGTAAGGAGGAAATACATGCACTGGGGTGATAGGAGTAAATCTCACGCATCCTGCTGCCAGTATCCGTGATATGCCTGTCCGTAACCGGTATCTTGGGGGATTTGCTCAGTTACTGGTGTGATCCAGATCGCTGTAAAGCCCATTCCTTGGATATAATCCAGCTAAAGAATGTTAGATTCCCAAACTGGCGTTGATAGAGATGGTGCTGCAACGATGGTGGACCGACCTGATTGATGATGCCCTGCCAGGATCCACCGCAATATTGCTACGTTTGTCAGCGGGTCATTTGCAAGATCTAGCTCATGCTGCGACTAACCCGGGCGCTCAAATCACACGAAGCAGTGGTAGAATTATCGGTTCGTGCAAAGCGATCGGTCAGCAGGAAATAGATCGACTGGGAGCGCCATTCTGCTGGCGTGGCTGCCAAAGCACTGACCACGAAACTGAGGAAGAACAGAATCATCATCATTCTTCTGGTCAGTTTCTCTAAGACTATAACTATATTTGAGGAGCACTTCGCTCTTATGAAGGGAGGATGATATGATTTATACTAGGCTATCCAAAGCCGGTCAGTTCCTTTGGATTGAGTAAGGCCAACATGACAATGTGAGTTGTCACTTACTATCGGAAGACGGTTCGACGGGTCCGATCCCAGCACTCTATAAATAGCGATTACATGCGTCTCCGTGTCTTGGAAACTAGGCTGCCTATTAGCGATGTACCCGACCATCAGCTAGATGGGAATGAAAGACTTCAACTATGAACGGATAAAGATGCGGGGGATTTCCATCGGGCCCTGGCGATCATGGGTGGATGTCGTTGACTGGCAGGGTTTCTCAGCGAATAGTGGCCACAGGCCGGCGGTTTCCTTCCCGGCGGCCTTGGCAACTACTATACAGAGCTGCGCGTCAGATTGAGTACCTTCCCAAGTGACTCGTTGCTGGGTGTTGTCAGACCCGTTTACAGAACATAGTCATGCAGGAATGCCGTGGTGGGCGGTAAAACAAAGGTTGATGTTAAAATTTGAATTCTAACCAAATACCTACATTGCAGGACATTAACTGCCCTACCTATTTTTGCATGCTGTACGCGCACACCTGGCTTGTGTCTGACACTACCATTCTAGCACCCAGTTCTTCGCCCATGCGCCGCTATTCGTCAAGTTCTGCAACCCCCCAACGAACAGAACCTGCGACGTGGAGTTGTATGTGATGGATCCTGGTGATACTGTCTTTCCATTGAGAGTCACCGCAGAGGGCTCCTTGTTCACTCCGAGCACCGTCACATTAGCGAGCGGGTTCCTTTCTTTCCAATTCCCTTGCGCTGACGAGCGCAGGCTTGACCGTGATGCGGTGAAGCCCACACGAAGCGTGGCATTGGGATAAATGCTCTCCCCATCATCGAGGTAGAGCTGCCCCGACGCGGTTCCGTTGCTTCCTAGTGCGGCCAGCAAAGCCCAGGGAGTTTGCCGGGCTTCACGAGTGGTCAATGCTGGCTCTTGCATCGGCAAGATGTTTCCACCTCGTACATAAACCGGGATGTGGCCCAATGGTGCCGAGATGGTCGTGTTAACTCCGGGCTTCGCATCAACGGCAGCCTGGGTGTACCAGTCGTACCACACTTCGCCATGTCCCACCCCCGGGAATACGCCCTTGACCGTATTGACCAGAGGCTCCAGTACCGGAATCACCATGATGGCCGGTCCAACCATGAATTGGGTCTCAACCGCAGCCAAAGTTGGGTCGTTGGGGAACTCCCAGGAAAGTGCGCGCATTACAGTGGACCCCGTAGTGTGGGCCAGGTCGAACAACGTATAAAAGTAAGGTAAGATAGCGTACCGGATTCTCATCGCGGACTTAGTCGCTTCAATAACAGAAGCCCACCGATAAGGCTCCTGGGGGATTGTGGAGAGCTCATTGTGGTTTCGGTAGAATGGAAAGAATGCGGACAGTTGCATCCATCGGTTGCAGAGCTCCTCATCCGAGTTTCCGGTAAACCCACAGGTGTCAGCACCAAACATGGGAATGCCGAAGAGCGAGAAGGAAAGGGCTTGTGAGATGGAGTAGTACATGGACCACCATTTGGAATAATTGTCACCGCCCCAGTGGCCCGCCCACTTGCCAGAGCCAGCGAAAGTTGAGCGGCCAATGATAAATGGCCGCCGCTCATGAGACCAGACCTCAAGCAGACCATGGTAGGTAGCGTTCAGTCCTTGGTGCCCGTAGAGACCGTGCACATCATATTCCTCAACACCATCAACATGGGTCGCGTTTGGCGACACTGCATGGACGCTGAGATCATGGCCTTCTTGATCATGGTTGATTACATAGGGTGGGTGCTCCACATTGCGAACACCAGGCGTGGGCGTTGTGCGCAGATATGACACCGAGGTCGACGCGCTGGTTGCGGTTGCGGTTGCTGCTGCCTGGCTGGAAGCGCCTGCCGACGCTGACGCCGCCTCTGTAGCGTTGGTAATATTGAAAGCCTCCGGGTAGTCATATATGATATCGCCGGGCTCACCGGGGAGAAGGAACGATGGGTGTGCCGGGTTAAGAGTCAGGTTCCCGGTGCCACAGCTCCCGACACAGAAGGATGAAACTTCAGACATGTCGTACCACACTCCATCGAACGCCACTTTCTTCGACCAGATGACAAGTTCGTTGGCCCAGAAATCCACTGCCTTGGGATGATGCCAGTCAGGGAAGACTGTATATCCTGGCCAGACGGCTCCGATATAGAGGCTACCATCGGGGTTCTTGAGGAAGACGTCATCCGCAGCTCCTCTGTCATATGTAGCGTATCTGTATTGCTTATTAGCACAAGGACAGCTATATAAGTTGACATGGTACACTTACGCATCAGATGCATTTTCGGGATTAGGAATGTAGAGTGCCGCATCAACAATGGGTACATAATAGCGTCCACTCTCATGTAACTTGCTGAGGAATTCGTCGCCCTCGCTGTAGGAAAAGCGATTCTGATCGTTATCGAAGTTGCGATATCCGTGCATGTAGTCGATATCGGTCCTATATACATGTCAGACCGGGTTAAGACATAATGGCAGGTACAATACGCACCAGATATATTCCAGCGGGATCTCGAATTTCTCAAAATTCGCGACAACGTCTGCCAGATCCGACCAGTTGTTGTAGCCCCAGCGACATTGGTGGAATCCAAGAGTACTGTATTGTTGCATGGCCGGCAATCCCACAGTGCTGGTGAGATATTGCCTGGTGACATCGGCC